TTCTTTTGAAAAATCAGCTGACAGTCTTATGGGAACTCCTTTGTAGGTAACTGTTGTCTTTTCTCTTGCAGCTTTTAAAATTCTCTCATTTTTCATCTTGGGTAATTTAATTATGATGTGCCTTGGTGTGTGCTTCCTTGGATCCAACTTCCTTGGGACTCTCTGAGCTTCCTGGACGTCCTGGAAGTCTGTTACCTTTGCCAGATTGAGGGAGTTCTCCTTCAGTGTTTTCAAATAGGTTTTCAACTTATTGTTCTTCCTCTTTTCTTCCTGGCACCCCTATGATTCAGATGTTGAAACATTTAAAGTTTTGCTAGAGATTCCTAAGCCTCTCTTCATTTTTTTTTGAATTCTTGTTTCTTCATTCTGTTGTGGTCGAATGTTTGTTTCTTCCTTCTCCAAATTGTTGATTTGAGTCCCAGTTTCCTTCCGTTCACTGTTAGTTCCCTATACATTTTTCTTTATTTTGCTTTGCATAGCTTTCACTTCTTCCTTTATTTTGCATCTATACTCAGTCATTTCTGTGAGCACCCTGATTACCATTTTTTTGAACTCTGTATCTGATAGGTTGGCTCTCTCTTCATTGCTTAGTTGTTTTTCTGGAGCTTTGCTCTGTTCTTTCATTTGGGCCATAATTCTTTGCCTCAGTGCACCTGTTACGTGGTGAGGGGTGGAGCCTTAGGCATTCGCCAGGGCGGGACAACCCACTTTGCTTTGCTGTGGCGCTATATATGGGGGAGGGGCCTGAGGGGAAACATACCACTTGTGTGGTTCTTGCCCCTCTGAGTTACTTCTACTGCTACCCAAAAGTAAATTGGGACTTTCTAGTGCTGATTCCCAGGAGGGTGGGATTGTGTACGTTCTAGGACCCCTGGACCCCTCCAGCTAACTCTCCTGTGAGACTGGCAGTTTTTCTCACTGCTGCAACCCCCACGGGTTTTTTCAGCGAGAAGTTTTAAGGCTCTGTTCCCCAGCCCTGGAACCCTGGGCTGTGCGTCTGTCTCACTCCCCAGTTGTTCCTCCCGGCTTCTCTGCACTCAAATGTGGGACTGCCAGGCATCATCCTCTGCGCCTCCCCTACCGGTCTGTATGAATATTTCTTCTTTAACTCCTTGGTTGTCGGACTTCCGTACAGTTTGATTTTTTGGCAGTTCTGATTGTTTTTGTTTTGAAACTGGTTGTTGTCCTTGTTTTGGTTGTGGGAGGAAGCGAAGCGTATCTACCTACCCCTCCATCTGGGCCGGAAGCCTCTCTCCTTCTTAATGGGTGTTTGATACTGTGCTGCCTCTTGGTTTATCCTCTTAATGTTTCTTCTGAGCTCTTCAGGGATCTCTAAATGCCTCCTAGATAATTTTATTTTTGCTCACACATCAGCACATTTTACAGTGTATATTCCCTTTCTTTTCTTGCAACATCCTTATTTAACTTCTTTTTTCTTCTGTTAGTTACGTAGTCTTAAAAGCCAGAATAAATCTTCTTGGATCTCTTTCTCACTCTTGACATTTGTTTCCTTTTAAAATGGCTATTTAAAAAATGCAGTTCTAGGAAAGTGATTTTAACAGTGTTTCAAGCCAGTGTGAGGATATGCAAGCAATCTGGAACAAAACAAAAAATCGAAAAGCGATAAGACATTTGATGAATTAAAAAGTTTTCAAGAAAATTCTGTCTTCATTTCAGGAAGGGAAAAAAGTTAATGGGGTTCAGACCAGTTCCTACAGTAGTAGGATTCTGTTGTTTGGCAAAGGTTAGCTACTCCTTATTTATCTGGCCTCGAGAAGAGTTGCAGAGATTCCTTACAGCCAGACCCAAGGGTTGACTGTGCAGATGACTCAGTTTACTGGCTGCATATTTGCTTCTTCTAAGTGGCCCTGTCTTCCTGCTGTAGCCTCAGACTTCGAAGCTGAGGTGAAGGCCTGCGCTGTATTTGTAGGCTGAAGTGAAGCTCCCTAACGGGCCCGTGCAAATGTGAATATATTCTAAACTGCTTTGTTACACAGATGATCAGGGAAGACATTTTTCTCCTTCTGAGCACAGATATTTTTTCCCTTCTCGGTGAGAGTGTCCTACCAGAGGAGGCATTTACGGAACCACCACCAGGTGCGTCTGATAGAGCTCATTTGTGCCCCTCAGGAAGTTGCCTTCTTTCACCTGGGCCATTTCCAGCGTTTTCATTAACCTCCTATTAAACATTCAGCTTTCTCTCGTGTTGCCTTCCAAAATATTCTCCACGTAATTGCTAACATGATCCTTCGAGAACAAATCGTCGTGTTCATGCTGCTTCTCCAAGTGGCCCTCTTCAGTGGTTTTCACGGCACTCGCACTCGGGAAAACGCTTGAACCGGCTTCCGACGCCCTGGTGAGGCAGCTTCCCCTCCGCTGTCATCTCACGACCTCTCTCCTCTTTGGGGAAGACGAGATACTTGTCTTAGCCTTCTTGAAATTCCTACCTTTTTCTTTTTAAAACTTCCGGGATCTCACACATGCTGCTGCTTTTTGGAATGTTCTTTTGCCTGCTTTTTTCTAGACTAATTCCTCTTCCTTTGATGTTCAGATTTATCATTTACTTTCCCAGAGAGGCCTTTCCTGAGCTTTGTATCTAAAGATATAACACCCATGCCAACCCCTCAGTAACCTCCCTCCACCCACACGTTACTTTTTCTTTATACGTTTACATTTATTAGTGTGTGTGTGTTTGTTTAGTCCTGCCTGTCCTACCCAGCTGTGCAGTTCTTTGAGGTCAAGGATCACATCTGTTTGTTTCACCATTGTATACCCAACTTCTAGAACAGAGCCTGGCAGGCTGTAGGCACTATTGACTGAATGATCGATATTTGGGGGTTGGGATATATTAGTCTGGCTTATCATTTCCTAACAGTTAGAAACCTTGTTTACAATTTTCCTTTTTAAAAAAAGATTGTATTTATATATTCATTTATTTTGTATTTTTTTATTGTTGTTCAATTACAGTTGCCCCCATTTTCCCCCATGGCTGTCCCCTGCTCCCTACTGCCCCCACTCCCCGATTTTATTTATTTATTTTTAGAGAGAGGGGAAGGGAAGAAGAAAGAGAGGGAGAGAAACAATGTGCAAGTGACATCCATCAGTTGCCTGTCGCACGTCTCCCAGCTGGGAGACCCAGGCATGTGCCTTGACTGGGAATTGAACCAGTGACCTTCTGCTTTTCAGGCCTATGGTCAATCCACTGAGCCTCAGCAGCTAGGGCTACAATTTCTTGTATTTAATAAAATTTTGTTTTTACAATAATGTTTTAAATGTCTTTAATTAATTGAATGAGAGTTTTAAGTAGCTTCTAAAATTAGCCATATTTTTTTTAGTGGAGTTAAGACCTAATTTGATGGATATATCCTCTTTCTAAGCCGTTTAAATTAAATTTTGTTCTTTGGCAAGTGAGAACAAATTTTTAAGTCTTTTAAGTTACAAAAGTAATTTACTTTTTACAGCACGTGCAAGTGATATAAAAGTATAGCTCTTCCCTCATTGTTTTCCCAATCTTGTTTCCCAGAGATAACTACTGTTACCAATTTGGTATACAATGTATCAGGTGAAAAGTAGGAAGATGTTGATAGATGTAGATTACTGACATGATACACTGCTGTAGGTTCCATCCCTCTGCTTAGATTGTCCTATTTTTTGTATTTCTGTAGGATAGGTTCTTAAAATAATAAATAATAGATTGAAGACTGTACATATTTTGAATTTTGATGGATGCTTCCAAATTGGCTTCCCAAAGAGTTGTAGAAATTAACTTTTAAATGACAAATTTGCAGTTTATGATTAGAAAAGTAATCCCATGTTTATTATAAATAATTTGACAAATACAGAAAAGCACACCAAAAAATAACTTATTCCACCCTGACCTGTGTGGGTCAGTTGGTTGGTTGGGCATCATTCCTCAAAGCAGTGGGTCACCGGTTGATTTCTGATCGGGGCACATGCCTGGGTTGCAGGTTCAGTTCTCAGTCTAGATGTGTACAAGCAACCAATCAATGTTTCTCACGTCAATTTTTCTCTCCCTGTCTTTCTCCCTCCCTTCCCCTCTCTCTAAAAATGAATGAGATCTCAAAACAAAACCAAAAACCTCAGTTCATCACATGGTAGTGTTCTGCTAGTCTTTTTCTGTGCACATAAAAAAATTCCTTTCCCAAGATTTATACACATGGCTTTGCAATTTGCTGTTTTTAAGTAACAATATATTACTTTTTCATGTCATTAATTTTTTTATATTCTTTTACTGCCTAGTTACACTGTAATTTAACAAATTCTACATTTCGAACATCTAGACTTACTAATACTTGCTCTCACAACTACCACTGGTGTGCATGTCTTTGTACATACATACCTCTCAATGCTTTTTCAGTACACATTTTTAGAAGTGAATTTGCTGGGCCAGAGTCTGAAAATTTAAGACTTTTCATACATTTTGCCAAATTGCTTTCCAGAAGAACTCCAGGTTACATCCTACTAATAATCACAACATGCCCATTTTTCTGCACTCTGATAGGTTTTAATGAAACTGAACTCAACAAATTAAAAAATTAAGTTTTAAAAGTAATGAAGCCCTGGCTGGTATAGCTCAGTGGATTGAGTGCAGGCCTGCGAACCAAACAACTGCAGTTCGATTCCCAGTCAGGGCACATGCCTTGGTTCCAGGCCAGTTCCCAGCAGGGTGACACATGAGGGGCAACCATACATTGATATTTCTCTCTCTCTCTCCTTCCCTTCCCCTCTAAAGATAAATAAAATCTAAAAAAAAAGTAATGAAATAAGAAATGGGAGATATAGATATGGTATAGAATAGATGAGGGCTCTCAAGACATAGCGTTAAGTACTACATAAACTGTATTCGTACTCCTTATCCAATTAACAGTAAGTGTCCTTTATTCTTTTCACTGTTCAGTTTTTTTTTTATTCTTTTGGTGTATGTCACTGTTCTTTGGTTTGCCACTTTATATTTTTTTTACTTATACCTTTTCACCTAGAGACCAAATGAGAGAGTTGACCCTGTTTCCGAAAAACCAAGAGAAGATCCAGTACTAAAAGAGGAAACCCTGGTGAGTTGCCTTATTGAATGCTCTCCGATCAAATATGGCGTAAGAAGGTGAAGACAGAATGTTGATGTGAACACATTTAACGCACATTAGTTTCATACTTCTTTATTTCAGAAGTTACACTGAAATAAATCTTAGAACTGGTTTAAGAAGAAGATACTTTCAGCGAATCATTTTCCTTTTTAAAACTATAACCCCTTTTTAATAGATTATGTGAGCCCTGACCAGTGTGGCTCAGCTAGTTGGGCATCGCCCTGCAGAACGGAAACTTGTCGGGTCTGTCCCACATTAGGGTAGGGCCCGGGCTGCGGGCTTGGTCTGCGGTCGGGGCGTGTGCGAGAAGCAGCCAGTCTGTGTTTCTCTCTCCCATCTGTGTTTTGCTCCCTCTTTTTCTTCCTCTCTTCCCCCTCTCTCTTAAAAAATATTTTAAAATAAATTATGTGCATTTTCAAAAACTTTATCAATAATTTGTCAATAGAAGCCATCAGTTCTATTTTTAATATTTGGAGCTGAGCTTAGTATTTTCCTCCTCTCTTCTTTTTTTCTAGTTGTGCATAGAAGTTATCAGACAAAAGTGTGATTGAAGATAAAGTTTACTTAGCTAGAATGTTAAATGTACTTTATACATAGCTTCTTCAAAATTTCTCTGCTGATGAAATTTTATGACTTTTTCCTTCCAGGCGCAACCGATAGTACCTTCTGTTCCAACAGTGGAAGTGTCCGCTGGTGTTAAGTTCCAGGTTGGCGATCTGGTTTGGTCAAAGGTGGGAACCTATCCTTGGTGGCCTTGTATGGTTTCAAGCGATCCCCAGCTCGAGGTTCATACCAAAATTAACACAAGAGGTAAGAAAAGGTATAGATAACATTAAGTAAAAGGTTGGAAAGAAAAAAGTGAATCTGAAATATTGTATATGACTATAAGAATATACATGACATGCGAAGAGGGACCCAAAAAAAGGAATTTTAATTAAAAGTTGTGTATTTATTCTTATATGTTTAAACTTCCACCACCTTCAAAGTACCTGTCATCTGATGTAATACACCTATCAAAACTTTTTTCCACTGTTCAAAACACTTTTGGCTCTCATAGATGTTGATGCTTTTTAGTGCTTCTGCCGTTTTTTGTTTCACTTCTTCCATGTCAGCAAAATTTTTTCATCTCGGGACATAAAAAAAAAGTAGCTCTGGGGCGAGATCGGATGAATAGGGAGGGTGGGGTATGGAGGTCATGCTATTTTTGGTCAAAAACTGCTGAAGATTCAGTGAGGTGTGGGCTAGTGCGCTTGTAAATCACCCTTCATGAATGGGTAAATGCATTGTCTTCAAAAGAAATTCACTGGAGCCGAACGCAGCCTCTCACAACAATGCCACGTGAACACTGGTACAGAGGGTTCCTAGAACACACACCTAGTGAGGGAAGCCTGTACTGCAGGTGGCCTGCCCTCTAGAAGATAATTCTGTTTGGGGGGGGGTTCCCCCCTCATATAGTCAGACAAAATATGCATATTTATATTAGTTTTAATGTACTTTGGGTGAAGTAATTTGGACAGCTTAACTGGCAGAGATCTGTTGCAACTGATATAGTCTTGTTTTTCCTTAAACACCCTGCATTTGTTTTATAATTTCTTTCACACTTCTTTTGTAAAAAGACCTTAATCTGACCTCTCATATGAATTCCAAAAGAAAGCAGATGGATAAGTAATAAGATGTCTTGTATGTGCTTTATTAGCATTCAGGCCAAGTTATTTTGAACATTAATAATTTCTTCACTGACTCCTTTGAGTATTTTTTAGCCAGACAAGTACCTTTTAGCTTTTCATACTGATAAATTTTGTGGGATTTTTTTTTCTTCCTCCACTCTTTTTTCTGGATTTGATCAAAACATGTGGATTAGATTCCTGAGATTCTGGCATTTGCAATGGACTTGCTTAGTAGCCAGCAGAAGGTTTGAGTTTGGAATTTGTTTCTGGGTATTTGCTTTGAAAACTCATTCTCGTTACATGTTTGAGTTCCTTACTATTATCTGTGACAACTTCGCACTTTTTTTTTTCTCTCTCTCACTCTAAACTTTGTATCTTGGTCCTTGTTCACTGTTCTGAGGAGAAAAAGTGTCTGCATAAGTCTGGTGAGTCAGATGGGTGACAGGATCAGCCATATCTGTAGCCCTGGTACTACACAGCCAGGAATGTGCCCAGGTACAGGGGGCCATCCTCTCGTCGTCATCATAAGCTGCTGATCAAAGGTTGGGGTGGCCAGGCTCGGTGAAGTGTGCTGCTAGTCCCGGCTACTCAAAAGCCTGACGCAGGCAGATGGCTTGAACCCAGGAGTTCTGGGCTGCACTGCGCTGTGCAGATCCAGTGCCCGCACTAAATTCAGCACCAGTGTGGTGACCTCCTGGGAGTGTGGTGACACCAGGTTCGCTAAGGAGGGCAACACGGCTCAGGTCAGAAAAGGGCAAGGTCCAAACTCCTGTGTTAGTCAGTAGTGGGATCACACCTGTGAACAGCCACTGTGCTCCAGCCTGGGCAAAAATCGGGGTACCCAAAAGCATCAGTGGGGCAGAAGTAAAAGAAAGTTAAATGTCTACTTCTCTGCAAGGCACTGTGTTAAAAACTTCTCTTACATACTTTCTTAAAATTTTTAAGGATTTTATTTATTTTTAGAGAGATAGGAAGAAGGAGGGAGAAAGAGAGGGAGAGAAGCATCAGTGTGAGAGAGAAACATCAATTGGTTGCCTCTCGTGTGCCCCCACCTGGGGACCCAGCCCACAACCCAGGCACGTGCCCTGACCAGAAACTGAGTCAGTGACCTGTCGGGCCATAGGCTGGTGCTCAGTTCCCTGAGCCATACCAGCCAGAGCTACTCATATATCTTCTTATGCATCCCTCTTAGCAACATTATGAAGTAGGTACTGTTGTTGTTCTTGTTTGAGATAAGTAAATAGTCTTAAATCTTACTGTATAACCTCCACTCTTAAGCACTACCGTATATCAAAGGAAAAGAAACTGAGTTTACCTAGTCACTGTTTACAGAGATTTGCAGGGGAGTCCTAGTTCCTTCATTGATATAATAAGGGTGTTGAACCAGTAATCTCTGAAGGTTTAACAATCTGGGACTCTGTGAATGGGAGAGAAAAGGGGCAAGGATTTTCCAAGAGGGCCAAGCCTCCTTAAATAAAGCAGTTCTATGTCTGTGTCTCCAGAGCATGCTAAGTTGTTATATGGTGTGAGATTGGTGACTCTTCAGGTCTCTTCCCTTACAAAAGCCCCCTTTTGAGATTACAGAAAGAGCTTCACATTTAATTACTTTGTTAAAGCCTGCTAATTTCACCTTTTCTTTTAAAAAAAATATATTTTATTTATTATGCCATTACAGTTCTATTTCCCCCCCTTCATTCCCCTCCACCCTGCACACCCCTCCCTCACCATTCCCCCCCTTTAGTTTATGACCACGTGTCTCAAGTTCTTTAGATTCTATATTTCCCCTACTATTCTTACCCTCCCCCCTATCTATTTTCTACCTACCATCTATGCTACTTATTTTCTGTACCTTCTCCCCACTTCTCCCACTCCCCTGTTGCTAACCCTTCATGTGATCTTCATTTCTATGGTTCTGCTCCCGATCTAGCTGTTCTCTTAGTTTGCTTTTGTTTTAGGTGTGGTTGTTAATAACTGTGAGTTTGCTGTCCTTTCACTGTTCATCTTTTTTATCTTCTTTTTCTTAGGTAAGTCCCTTTAACATTTCATATAATAAGGGCTTGGTGATGATGAACTCCTTGAATTTGATCTTTTCTGAGAAGCACTTTATCTGCCCTTCCATTCTAAATGAAAGCTTTGCTGGATAGAGCAATCTTGGTTGTAGGTCTTTGGTTTTCATGACTTGGAATACTTCTTTCCAGCCCCTTCTTGCCTGTAAGGTCTCTTTTGAGAAATCTGCTAACAGTCTGATGGGGACTCCTTTGTAGGTGACTGTCCCCTTATCTCTTGCTGCTTCATTTTAATCTTGGCTAATGTAATGATGATGTCCCTTGGTGTGTTCCTTCTTGGGTCCAACTTCTTTGGGACACTCTGAGCTTCCTGGATTTCCTGGAAGTCTATTTCCTTTGCCAGAATGGGAAAGTTCTCCTTTATTATTTGTTCAAATAAGTTTTTCACTGGTGGCTGTTCCTCTTCCCCTTCTACTACCCCTATAATTTGTATGTCAGAGCGTTTAAAGATGTCCTGGAGGTTCCTTAGCCTGTCCTCATTTTTTGAATTCTTGTTTCTTCATATTTTTTGTGTTTGTTCATTTTTTTCTTCCTTCTGGTCTGCTCCCTTGATTTGAGTCCCAGTTTCCTTTCCCTCACTATTGCTTTCCTGTGCATTTCCCTTCGTTTCAATTAGTTTAGCCTTCATATGTTCCTCTAATTTGTGACTAAAATCAAACAGTTCTGTGAGCATCCTCATGACCAGTGTTTTGAACTATGCCTCTGATAGGTTGGCAATTTCTTGTTCGCTTAGATTTATGGGCTCTGGGGCTCTGAGTTCTTTTTTATTTTTTTTAAATTTTATTTAGTTATTTTTTAAATACAGTTTTCTATTTCTCCCAGCCCAGCCCACCCCACCCCGTGCTCCCCACCTCCCTCCCATTTCCAGCCCCCTTAGTTCTCGTCCCTGTGTCCTTCATACTTGTTCCTCCAAATCCCTCCCCTTTTTTCCCCTTAAATTCCCTTCCCTCTCCCCTCTGTTCACTGTCCCCTTGTTTTCTATTTCAGTGTCTTTGTTTTTATTCTGCTTGCTTGTTTGTTTTGTTGTTTAGCTTCCTGTTAAAGGTGAGATCATATGGTATTTGTCTTTCAACACTTGACCTATTTCACTCAGCATAATGCTTTCCAGTTCCATCCATGTTGCTGCAAAAGGTAGTAGCTCCTTCTTTCTCTCTGCTGCATAGAATTCCATTGTGTAAATGTACCACAATTTTTTGATCCATTCATTTACTGATGGGCACCTAGGTTGCTTCCAACTCTTGGCTATTGTAAATTGTGCTGCTATGAACATTGTGGTGCATAGGTTCTTTGAAATTGATGTTTTAGGGTTCTTAGGATATAATCCTAGCAGTGGAATTGCTGGGTCAAAAGGCAGGTCGATTTTTATTTTTCTGAGAAAATTCCATACTGTTTTCCATAATGGTTGTACCAGTCTGCAATCCCACCAACAGTGAACTAGGGTCCCCTTTTCCCCACAACCTCTCCAACATTTGTTGTTTGTTGCTTTGTTTATGATAGTCATCCTGACCGGTGTCAAGTGGTATCTCATTGTAGTTTTAATTTGCATCTCTCTGATGGCCAGCGATATAGAGCATTTCTTCATGTGTCTCTGGATACTCTTGTATGTCCTCTTTAGAGAAGTGTCTGTTCAAGTCCTTTGCCTATTTTTTAATTGAGTTATTTGTCTTCTTAGTGTGGAGTCATGTAAGTTCTTTGTATATTTTGGAGGTTAAACCTTTGTCTGTGGTATCATTGGCAAATACGTTTTCCCATACAGTTGGTTGTCTTGCTAATTTAATACTGTTTTCTTTAGCCACGCAGAAGCTTTTTATTTTGATGAGATCCCATTTGTTTATTCTTCCCTTTATATTCCTTGCTCTAGGGGACATATCAGTAAATATGTTGCTGCGTGAAATATCTGAGATTTTCCTGCCTATGTTCTCCTCTATGACTTTAATGGTTTCATGGCTTATATTTGTCTTTTATCCACCTTGAATTTATTTTGGTGAATAGTGTAAGTCGGTGTTCAAGTTTCATTTATTTGCATGTAGCTGTCCAGTTCTCCCAACACCATTTGTTGAAGAGGCTATCTTTACTC